TCTTAATTTTGGTCAAAGTTAAGTTAATGCCGGCCTATTAATAAAATGTAACTTACATTACCTACTGGTAACTTACCGTAAGTTACATTGGTAAGTTACAAGGTGTAAGTTACATTTACAACCCTGACTATACCTATAAGAAGAGAGAAAATAATGTAGAACTATAAAAGAGTGTGAGTTTAATGAAGAGAAGCTAATATTAATAAAATGTGTTTTTCAGTTATTTAGTGATATGTTATTAAGGCTTTCAGATTGTTTAATAGTTGTATATCATTCAAGCTAAAAGTATTTTATTTTGAAAAATATGTAATAATAAGTAAAGAAAATAAGACCATTTGTTAGCGAAATATTATTAATAAAATGATAAGTTTTATTAAACAAGAAAGAGGGTACAATTTTTTTAATTATGTCAATAAAGTTAAAAGAGCCAATTTGATCATTCAAAGACCAAATGTCTATATTAAATAATTCAAAAAAATCTTGAACTTCAGAATTTAACATAGTTATCTGTTATGTAAAAAATTATTTGGTAGAGAAAAATGATGTCAACTATTTAGTGTTCAATACTATTATAAGTTTAAATATAATTGAATATTTTATGAGTAAAAGAACATTTAAAGTAATTTCATGATTGATCATAAAATTCTAGGTGTCTTATTTTAAGAATCTCTAATATAAAAATAATTTAAATATAACATTTTAAATTTACGGATAAATGAGACTTTAAAGAAGATGTAAGAATTGTTTTCATTATCATTAAAAATAAGAAAGTACATAATTAATTAACATCTATTGAACAGTATTTTTAGAGGTATAAAAATAACTAAACATTATAAAAATCTATTGAACAGAGGAGTCTTTCACGAAGTATTTTAGTGAAGTGAGTATAATATTATTGTGAAAGTATAAATTGTATTTATGTCTAAATATTATATTGTTTAAAGTAAAGTTAAGACTATCAACGCATCAACTTTATTAATATAGTGATCATTTATATATACTTTGACTTTATAAAACTCAATAAAAATAGATTTATTTTAATTAACTTTAAGATGAGAAACTAAATAGAATAATAAGAGATTTTGAAGATGGGATTAAAGGTTAGAGAAAAAGCAAAAAAAAAAATTTATTTATCAAAGAATGAAATAACATTTTATGAGTTTGTAAAAATATTAATAGAGGTATTTATAAAGGCTACATAAAGGGTAAAAAGTATAGCTACTAGTTTCGCTAATAAGTATGAAGATTAAAGGAGAAAAAGAGTAGCTTTATAAGGAAGTAAAAGTACTGATGGATCAGTTTGTAATCAAGTCACACTCATACAAATAGATAAAGAATCTAAATTAATAGGGGAATCGTCAGTATAAAATGAGAGGTTAGTTAATTGTAAAAGAGAGTTTTTTAAATTATCTAAATTAGCAAAAATATCTGTATTAAAAATATTTTGAGATGAAATAAAAGAAAGAGTTAAAGTTGTAATAAAATTAAATGAATTATTATTACTATATAAAGTAATTTTATAAATTATAGTGAACAAATATAGCTAATTTTTGATGTAAAAGGACTTTAATATTAGCATAAAAATTTAAGAGAAAATCATAAAACAAGTTTTGTATTTGTTTCTTATATTAGAGGATATGAAAGAAAATCATTATTAAGTAAATATTTTTTATAAGATAACAATAATATTTTCTAAGTGAGATCAGGAAAGGCATTAAAATGTTGAAAATGAATAATGTTATTTTCAATTCTGAGAACTTTACCAATTATAGTAGACAGGGAATTTAAATGTCAACCCATTGTGAAATGTATAATACTTTTAATATGAGCAAAAAAGATTAAATTATATCATTATCATGTGAAAGATAAATTATGAGAGGATAATTCTTATATTTAATAATGATATAAATATTAATTGCAATTTGAGAAATTATGAAAGAACTTTAAAAATTGCCAATTTTACTGCAGAAAATTTGAGATCAAGTAAAGTGAAAAGTATAATACTATCTGATATTATAATTTGGTCAAGAAAAATGAGTTATTTTCTTCTTAATTTTGAAACAATTTGAGATAATCTGTCTTATAGTAAATGTTATTAAAAGGAAAATGCCTCCTAATATGTAGTTGTCTTTAATGTTACTATTAGAAATAGTTAAACTAAGTGATTTTAGTATAGAAAGTAGAGTAGACCACTAATCTTTGAATTTGAAAATATCATAATATGGCTAAAATACAGAGGTGATTTAACTAATTATTCATTTTGTTAGAGTAACCTGAAGAAAATGAAAGAAGTTATTTCAATAAATCTTTGTCATTAATAAATTTAATGTATTTAGATAGTTTTACTTGGATTTATATTGAATATAAATTTGTGATATTATAAAATAGTGATGAATATATAATAATTGCAGATGTATTTTTAATAAATATAAATTTAATCAAAAGAGCTTCTTGTAGGACTTCATGATTTGATCATAGAATTTGTAATTGAGAAAAGTCAATTGAATATAATATAGGATTCTTGGTAAAAGAACCAAATTAAAGACTACTCTAAATTATTTGTCAGTAAAGAATTTCCTTTTGATTGTTGAAGTAGTAATAGAGATTTCATTTTTTATTTGTTGTCTTATAAAGGGACTATTCAAAAGAAAAGATATTCAAATATCAAGGTAGTAGATAGATAATTTAAGATCTATTAATTTAATCCATTCTTTATTATGAACAAGTTAAAAAATATACAGGTAACACTATAGGTACTAAGATAAGTAATACTAATTTGTCTCCATTGATAGAAATATTATTGAGTTGATAAAAATCATTAGCAATTGTAAGGATCAATTCAAGTTTATCTTTAGATTTGCTGATCTATAGTGTATCATCTATAAAGATAAGAGTAGATACTTGTGCTGATAAAGAAGTCATTATATTATTATTAATATTTGAATGCTATTTAGCTAACAAATTATAACTTAGAGTAGTATTTTAGATACGGTATAATAAGGGTCATAATATATGCACTAAAGTATTGGTAAAATAATTTTATCTTGGTCAATACTAAAAATTACTGGATAATGATTAGTGTTACTATGAGCTATAAAAATTTAATTAAAATGATTTGAAAATAATAAAGTAACAAAATAAAGGAAAGAAAAGTAAAGTTTTAAATGATTAAGAGCATAAATTAACATAGTGATATTAACTCTATCATAAGCTTTGGACATAATCTTAAAAAGAATCCAAAGCTATTATTCTTATAAGATAGACAATCATATTTAATATTATTGAGAATATATATTAGTTTGAATGTGAAATGAAAGAGTAATTGATTCCTTTTAAAACAGAGTATTTGAATAAAATGTTTAGCAACCATTCGTTGATTTGTTTAACTACAGTTTTATAAAAGCATTTTAGCAATTATTATAATATTTTTTTTCTTTATATTTAATATAAAAATATAAAAATAAGAAATAATTTATTCATCGCATGTGCGATATCTTTTGTCATCCGTGTCACACACTCTCCTTTTTTCATTTTTCATATATATTCTGGGGATTTAGATATGTGAAACCATATTTGTCACATGGTTAGTGTCACATGGTTTAGAGTTAGGTTAGGGTTAGGGTAGGTTGGGGAGTATCCCCCCCTGCGATGAATAAATTTACTCAAAATAAAATATTATTTTAATAAATTTATCAAATGAACCAAAATGAAAAAAAAATTATTTAGCAGATCTAATTAATATTCTATTTTCTATATTTTTGCATATACACTGCGTAAACAAAATTTGTAAACCTTATACCATAGCCCATATGTGACGATTTGCGACTGTTTCGAAACACTTGTTTCTAAAGCTAAAAAGGTTGTTGATAGTCATCCAGAATGAAGGCAAACCTTTAAATACCAATTCAGATACCTTTTTAACTTTTCTGTTGTTTTCTAAATTCTGTCGAGCGTTTTTTAGGTAGGGAACCTAACCTATTTTTATTTTTTTCGTTGTATGATATCGAATTATTAAAAATATGTTAATTAAAAAAAAAACGTTTAATTCATTTGCAAAAGCTTAACGTGAGACAATCATAAATTGGATTTTAATAATATGGTTTAAATTATTTAATTTATTTATATTTATGTGTATAATATTAAGAACGATTGAATTCTATAAGCGAGTGAATCATCAATTCTATTAATTAACATATCAAACAATAAATAATAATTATTAAAGGAAACTTATTTCGTTTAACTTATTGTTACTCGCAAATCTATAAACTTAAATAGTTAGACATACTTTATCATAAGGCATTTTCTATAATCGACTAAGCATAAAAAAGGATAAAAAGAGAAACGTTTGCTTAAAAAAAAAAAAATGATGATGAAAAGAATCTTAATAGCGTACTTTTCATATTCATAATAAACGACTATAAATGAAATTAATTTCCGAAATAGATCTTAACAGATAATCAAGGAAAGAAAACGATAAGCAAAAAAGAATAAGGATAAAAATTTAACAATAATAAATCGAAAGTTGGAAAGAATTCTAATTTAACAAATTGCAAATTAAATTGCAATTAAAGCCGGCTGCGAAAAATACTTCAGGTTTATTTCTAGGAAATATTTGAGCAGGACTTGCATTATCTAATGATGAATGAACCTCAATCATAAAATCATCATCTATAATGCGAACTTTATGAGCACTTTTAGTTAAATGTAATCTCATTTCAAAAAATGAATAAAGTTGCATAGGATTTTGAAGATTATTATTACATAATTTACAACTGAAAATTCGTTTGTTATTTAAGCCACCATGAAGGAATGCTCCACAAACCGTTGTAATAGGAGCAGGAATGTCTTTTAAGTAAAAGGCTTCTTCCCGAAGTTGTGGAATTAAGATACTTACAAGAAAATCATCATCCCAAAGAATTCTTGGATCTTTATTCATAAATGGAGGATTACGAAAAGAAGGACACCATGGTAAGTATTTTATCAAAAAGCTTTCAAATATTACATTAAACCCTGACGTTTTTTGATTTCTGTTGTTAGAATTCAAATCGTCCGAGTCACTGTTGGAATCTGAGGAGGAAGATGATGATTCTTGTTGAGCAATCGATTGTTGTTCAACTTCAGGGCGTAGTAATTCAAAGATCATTTTAACGATGTCCATTTGTCGTGTTTGAATTGCAACGTCAAAGTCCATATGTTGTTCTGCTTCTTGTCGTCGCATTTTTAAAATGGTCACTAACTGCGTATATTCGGGAATTAACCTATTACGAAAACCAATCCAAGCGCGTTCAGTAAAACGACTCGTAGAAGTTGACATCATTGCTTTGTTATAAGTTGTACATTGTTCAACGACAGACATTTTAAATCTCGGAAAACCATATTCATTTTTTTCTTGTCTAATAAATTTGTCAATTGTTGTGGCACGGTCATCTCGTTTTTTTGAATTTTCCATTGTTTTGGTCCAATATTCATTTTCATGCTCAGCTTCTCTTTTGGAAACTTCTTCCATTTTACGCTTTCCTTCTTCACGTTTTAATTTGATCCATTCTTTTTTTTCATTGACTTCCAACCTTGTAAATTCCGAGTATACTTTAAGAACGTCTTGAGTCAAATATAAATTTGCTGGACGATGTTTGGGATTTCGATCCCATCCTGATTTATAAAATCCTGTGATAAACGTTAACCCACAAAGAATATCATCGGGAATTGAATTCGGAGAAAGGAAACGATGTCGCACTTGATCTAATCTAAGATTAAAAAAAAAAAAGTTAAAACGGAATTTCCGAATTTAGAGGAAAATCCCGGGATGCCAATTCACCCAATAAATTTTCCAAATGAAAAAGACATACCTAATTGTTCGATCCTCTAAACATTCCTTGCAACATCTTACAAGAAACGCCCAATAAACTTTTCTAATTCTAGGCTTTTTACAGAATTGACAACCTCGTTCAGAAACCAATTTGACATATTGTAATTCAGTCATTCCTTCGGGTGGTGGCATTTGAACAAAAGGCAAAAATGTTAACCGCGAATTTTTCCAAATTTCTTGCGTTGTAGTAGAATTTGTTGAACACAAATATCCATAGAATTTTTTACAAACTTGAGCGAGTGAAAGAAGATCGATTGGTGGAAGATCTTTACATATATTTATAAAGATTTCTGGCGGAATTTGTGTTGCTAGGCACGGTCCTTGAGCGAAATTAATTGCATTAATCGACTGATATGTATAATATGCATATTCCATTCTTTTTTTTTTTTTTTAAGAAATATTTTTAAAAAAATTTACTATATTTTTTTTTTTTAAAAAAAAAAAAAAGGTTGAAAAAAATTTTTTTTAATAAAAATGAAAGATTGTGGTATTAATATATTCGGAGAAAAAAAAAAAAAATTCTATGAAAAATATAAAATATGAAAAATATTGTATAGGGGAATTGCAAATTTGTCAATTCAAAGTGAGATGTATTTATAATTGTTTTTTTTTTTTTAAAAAAAAAAAGATAAAAATAATTGAATGAAGAAGTTTAATATAAGGATATAAATGCTTTTTGATGTTACATATTACATAACAATTTTTAAAAAAAAAATCTATTCCCGAGAGTTTGGTTCTTTAAAAGAACTTTTAATCTAAATTTGGGAGATATACGTTTTATTACATTAAAAAAAAATCTTACTTGACCGTTTTAATGATACTCATCCATTCTCGTGAAACCAACCTGAAAAAAAAATGGATCTTAATCCCGTGAAGTCAAATTCCGATAAATGATTACAATAGAATATTTTAATGCAATTGTCGATAAAAAAAAATTATATAGTTGAAAATTAAACCGGTTTTTGAACACAAAAAAAAAAAAAAAAAAAAAAAAAAAAAAACGCCTTACTTTAAAATTTGATCAATTCACTATTGTTTTTTTCCTCAAAAAGCCACAGGTTCATCTTTTTTTTTCTTTGTGAAGAATTTCTTTATTTCGGCGCAGAATATGTTCCTTGGAATCGGTTACATATTACTAAGCATTTCTTTATAAAGAAACCTATTTCTAATTCTAAGGGTTAAAAGTTCAACTCTATTGTGCACAATCCCGGAATACATCGAGTTTCTTGAACCAACAATTTTTTCCTTATTCAAATTGATGTGGCTTGACGTAATAAACACATGTATATGTATTAGACTACATGAATTTGGCTGCACAGCCAATGCACTCATATTACACACGAGTGTTTCAAAATATATAAAAGAAGGAACAAAGGATAATTTTTTTTGGGTTTGAAGCTGATCTGAAACTTGTTACATAAATTTATCCTAGCTTTCGGTAAAAAAATAATATGTTCAATTAATCACGGTAATGGTTAAGGTTAACTGTCCAAAAAATGCACTATTGAGACCTTCCGGAAAACGTTATTATAAAACCCTTTAATAGAACAATATCAAAAGTTTAAAATATTATGTCTAAGATCATTTAAAGTTTTAAATTAAGGAATGATTACACAATCTTTTTTCTCCGATAGAATGCTTAAAACTAAGTGAATTCATGTCCTAAAGTGGATTTAATTGAATCTTAGACATGATTGAGATCATTAACAATTTCGATGTGAAAAGGTTACAAAACTATATAAGTAATATGATTAGTTACTCAATAATCTTATCGAAATTCAATTTTGTCCCATATTAGAAATAATGTAGAAAAGTTCATAGAGAAATTATTCTAAATATAAATCTTGATTCAAATGATCTTTGTAAAAAAAAAAAAGATCAATCATTTTTCAATGAACATACAGTACTTTTAAGGAAAATCATTAAATGCTGTGGGACATTTTCCTAATTCGTTATAACGAATCAGATTGATTGTGATTTTCCGGTAACTTTAAATTAACACTAACCACACTAACCAAAAAATGCGAAGATCAATATTTATTTTCAACAAAGAACAAAAATTTAAAAGGCACTCAAATGGTAAATTAATATTAGTTTTTTTACATTGTTTATATGTAATGAAAAATTATAAGTATCACAAAAGATGATGATTTCCTAAAAAGAAGTACGCAACATTCACAAAGAAGGCATTCCTTTTTTCCTTTAAATAAATAAACATATTTCAAGATATGCATTAAATTGCGTACAAAAAAAAAAAATGCAAAAAAGCTGATAAAGGCAATTGAGAGGAAATACAAAAAATTTATTGTTGGACTCCATCAAATAGACAATGAATCTTTTTATGATATAAAGCCGATTTTTGATGATAAACCACATGATATTCCCATGATTTTCATCTTATTTGCGATGGTAGAGACCAAATAAGGTTTATTTTATTCCTTTCTTCTAGTACCAATGAATCTATGAATGATGATTTTTTAGAATTTATTGAAAGTTTTTTTCAATATGGATCTAAATAGTAAGAATTCGACATGCATGTCGGCGTAATTCGATAATTTCTTATTTTGGTTTCGGGCATATGGTTCACCACCTTTAAATTGGCCGAATTGGCCCGAAAGTCAAAAGTTCGGCAGAGATGGCGAAATTAAATTTAGATTCATAATCCTGGCTGAAAATTTCTGTCCATATTTGACTATTTTTTTTTTTTTTAGCGAGCCTTTTTGGATTGATCTGATCTATTCATTAAATAAATAAAATCTTATACTCTATATTATATTATTTTTAATATTATAAATAACTTAATTTAGATTTAATAAATTTTGAATTTTGATTTTAATTTTATTTTATTAAATATTTTAATTTTTATTCTTTTTAATTAAATAATTATTTTTTCTATAAATTAAAAATTTCTATTTTAAATAAAATATAATAAATAATATCTTAAGTATAAAAATTTTAAGTTTTTAATATATTAGTTTAATAATTCATCTCTTATTTCATAATTAATATTATTTATAATATGTAAAGTTAATTATTTATTAATATTTTATCTTATTATAATAACCTTTTTTAACTTTTTAAATAACTAAAATAATTAAAAAAATTATAAAATTTATAATTTATAATTATTGATAATTTTTAATAAATATTAATAAAATAATATGTTTATTATATATATTTTTATTTTTATATTATTTTAATATCTCTTCAACTATTTTGCCTACAAATTTTGTAGGCAATTTTATTATTAATTATAATCATTTTTAATTATTTTTAAATATTTTAAAATATAATATTAAAAATTAATATTTTTATAATAAATTTTATGATGTTTTCTAAGTAAAAATTAAAAAAAAAATGTA